GATGCATTCTTTGTTGTTTAGAGAGACTGACGATTATGCTGAGATTGTTTGAAGTGATATATTGTCATGGTTGAATGATCGATATCGATGTGAATGAATTGGGGTTTTATGTTTTGGATTTGAAATGTTTGAAGAACAATATACGAATTGAAATAAATTTGTGTATAGTTTCATCAAAGGTATGTTCTTGATTCCCATACATAGTTGACATTGTGAATAAAGTGTTTGATAGAAGAGAGGGTGAGTTGGCATCTTTATTTTGAAATTTATCGTCAAAATGTAATTTTTTTTTAACATTTCCTATTTAAATGTGATGATAATGGACAAATTAATATGATTTCAAAAAAATTAAGGGTAAAATTGAAATTATTCGAAATCTCAAGGTGTAGTTGATCATTGGGACAAAGTACAAGGGGAAAAATGGAATTTTCTCTTTTAATAACTCAATATCGTAAAAACAATATAATTTTAATGTTTACAGTACTTTTTATCAATTAATAAAAATAAAATTTTTAATTACTTAAAAAAGTAAACATCAAGAGAAAAAATATATAGAAGATAGATATGAATTGATTCGTATATTTTAGTGGTACAAAAATTTAAATTTTAAAACTAATTAGTTAAGTTTCTTTTTCAAATTTTGAAATTTAAATTTTTAAATGGATTAATTAACTTTCCTTTTGAAATGTGTAAATCGAGGCATAATAATTTTTTTAAAAATGATTTAATTAAAATTAGCCAATAGAAAATGTTTTAATTATTAAAAAAATAAGAATTCTAGAAAAATAATAGGAGGGTTTTAAGCTTCACAAGTCCCTTCTCATTAGAAATCCTTTTTCCTTGGTATAGATTCAAAAATTGATTTACTTTCTAAATTGAAGTGATTTGATGATGATAAACATATGAACCAAATAATTAATTATTAATTAGATTTAAACTATAATGACCAATGATTGAATGACATGTGTATTTATGTATTTTAAAATTCAAAAAATAAAAAAAAAATTGAAAGTTTCAAACTCAAAAACCTTACAGCCTTTTTGCTTATATTATAATATATTATATGAACCAAAATATATAATATATTATGAACCAATGCCCTCTTCTCAAATTTATTCCTTCATACACACACATCACTGCTGGAAATTAGAGTTTTAGAGGCGTTTAAAAAATGCCGCTATAGCTCTTAAAAACGCCGTTAAATCCTTGTGTGGCGTTTATCACCAAACGTCGAAGATGCGGCCGTCGCTATAACTCTATGGCGCTTTAGAAACGTTGCTATATTACTATAGACCGCTAAAAATTCTTCTAACGGTAACATGACGTCACCATTCAATTTAGCGACGTTTTTAAAACGCCGTCATATCTGTTTTTCAAAACTCCAACTGTTGGTATGCTATTTAGCGACGTTTTTAGAAACGCCGTGATAGCCCCTTTCTTTTTTTTTTAAATTGTGCTAATTTTATGTTATTGAACTAAAAAATAGCGATAAATTTTTCGTAGTCAGCCATATTCGATATAAGCACAGGCCCATAAGAACCAAATTGTAGATGGAAACAACCAAAGTGTCCATTTGCCACTGGCTGACAATACCAAACCTATCACACCCTAGACCCACCCCTAAAAGTTTGGGCATGACCACCTCAAAAAAATGGACATAAAACCTGATAAATATAACCTATGGGGCCTGAACAGAAGCACCTGATAAACAAAAATCTATTCCATTGAGCTACCACTATCATGCCAGGATCACAGTATCATAAAAGTAAATAATATACAGAAACATACATACACATACATTGACTCAGCCCATAATTGGGCATATAACAAAGCATATTAATGAAAGACAACTGAAGCATAAACCCCAAAAACTCAATAACAAATACATGGGCTTCGGTTAGTGCCTGGACACATCGAGGTTGACAAGAGAGAGACGAGCGTTAAGGGTTAGGACTGGCTTCCCAGTTGATCACCTACAGAAACAGACAAAATACAGAATGAGTGAAACTCAATGAATAATAGTACATAAATAATGTAAGGTGTAACCTGAATAGTAAGGCATAAGACTGCAGAGACATATGATTAACTTCATTCCATAATCATTTCAAAACAGCCATGAATTCAGTTTTCTTAACAGAGTGGTTTTAAACCCAGTATGTACAGAACTTCCATAGGTCTGCAGATACAAAATGGCCATAGGCCCAGAAATGCATATATATATATATATATAACAGAACAGCCTTTTGGCCTAGAAATATATATATAGAATAGCCTTAAGTTCAATCTTGCAACATAAACATGGTGGCTATAAGCTCTTGAAACATGGTGGCACGAGGCCCTTGAAACATGGTGGCTATAAGCCCTTAAAACTTATGGCACTAAGGCCCTTGAAACATATGGCATAAAGCCCTTGTAACATATGGCATGAAGCCCTTGAAAGATTGGCATGAAGCCCTTAAAACGTTGGCATGAAAGCCCTTAAAACAAAGAACTTGTAACATACATAAACTTGTAACAACATAAACTTGTAACATACATAAACTTGTAACAACATAAACTCGTAACATACATCAACTTGTAACAACATAAACTTGTAACATACATAAACTTGTGACAGACTTAAACTTGTACATACATCAACTTGTAACAGACTTAAACTTGTAACATATACTTGAAACATACCTGAACATACTTGAACTTGTAACATACTGGAAACATGCCTGAAACATACTTCAACATCATTCATTAATTCAAACGGAACATATCATAACTAGAGCATTTCTTGTTGTATCGTGTCATTATCGTACGCTTAACAATGAGAGACTAATTCACATTCTCATGAGGGTCACATAATGATGCTAAACTTTGCACTTATATCGTAGATTCTGGATCACTTCCAATTCATAAGCAACATATCAAATTAACTTCAATTCATCTGGATACATGTAGCTACTCTTATATTTACTCAGAATCCATTCTTCTAGAATGAACATAAATTCTTTTGGGTAAATGACTTACTTTACGTGCTCTCTTATCAATAGCATACACCTTTGTTTAATCATTCTTATATGTTAACATAGTTGCCTTGCCTTGTAATTAACATAGTCCTAATGGTAACTGTTACATCATTCCCATGAGTTGACATAATTAACGTAAGGTTAACAGGACATTCCTGATAATTAGTAACGAAAAGTAAGTACATTTTCGTTAGATTATAGATGACTTTATTGGTTTCACAATTTCACAGTTCGGCCCTTGGCCTGAGGGGTTCACACATTCACAAGTTCCTTTGATGTTTTCATAATTCCATAATGTTTCTCACATAACATACATAACTTCATAAACTCTTTTGAAGTTTCCATAATATCACAGTGTTTCTCACATAGCATTTATAACATTTATGTCAACATAATTCTTACGACGAATATTTAACATCAATAACGATAAATGTTTAAGGGTACATCAAAGTACTATTACTCACAGTATTCAGGTGTGTGGTCCGCCCTTGAAGCTAACCCTACACAAATCACGTAATCCAAACATAATCCATCATAGTACAACATCATTTAGTTCATTAACACCATTTACAATTCAACATAATTCAAAATAAACCCTTGAATCTCATTTTAACATTCCAAAATCGAGTTTATGTCATCCATATCCTTAATAGATTATTTCTCTAATTTTTCCTTTACATGATAGCATGAATTCCAACATTTATAACAAAGTTCATTCACAAATTTAAAACATAATTTCCAAACATTTCCAAATTCCAATTAAACTTGAACACATCTAATTCAATATCTCAATTTCATTACTGTACTTTCAATTTGGACCAATTCATTGGTTTTCATCATTAATCAACCTAGGGTTTCAAGGAAAATGATGATTTTTAGCAAAAATTCAAACTTCTTAAATCACCACTTTTAATTCCAATTTTCCCAATAATTCTACACCTAGGATTCAAAATCCATCATTTAAACCCAACAATTAACTCCCAACATCACAAACCATAAAACCCCAAATCTCAAGTTAACACAAAATGCTCAAAACCATAGATTTTGTATTTATATACTCAAAATACCACAAATCCATCCATGAATGCAAGTATTGTAAGAGAACAAGGACCCCTACCTCAAGAACCAAGCAGGGAGCAAAGCTTTGAGAAAAATCCACCAAAATCTCGAAATTCCAATCGGTTGAAAATGTTCATCTTCTTGCCTTCTTCACTTCTTGGTAGAAGATCTTGCTCAAACCTAAGGGAAATGGAGGTATTTGGGGATCAAAACCCTAGGGTTTTCGGACTTAGGGCAAGAGGGATCAAGAGAGGAAAGGAAAACATAAGAAATGATCTCAAAATCCCGTTTTTAAGCTGCTGTACCCGCTATTTCCGCTCGAGCGTCCCTATTCCCGCTTGAGCGGACCTGCTCCCAGCACAGATTCTGAAACTTCAAACATGCGTAACTCTCCCATCCGGACTCCGTTTTAGGTCGTTCTTGTGTCAAAATTGAAGCCCCGGAAATAAGCTTTCCAATGGTTCTAACCTTACATCCAAATTCAAAGTGTGGAAAAATAAAAGGGCAAATGAGTGAAGGTTCGTCGTAAACGAATTATTCAAATTAAAGTTTTTGGTCCAATCTTACTTTACCATCATATTATCATCTCAATCAATACCCCAAAATAAGGTAAAAACATTCCAAATACACGAAGAAGAACATCAAAATTGAGCCCACATGCCTCAGAAGCAAACTTAACCAGACGACCCGCTCGAGCGCCCAACCTTGCGCTCGAGCGTACAGACCAACAAAGCAATCCGCTCGAGCGTATACTCCCCCGCTCGAGCGGGAAATCACAACTCCCAGAATCTCAAGCCGTCTGCACAATTACTGGGAACCCCAAAAGTCCGCTCGAGCGTTAACTCTTCCGCTCGAGCGGAGGGAAAAATTCTGGGTCGTCACAAAACCAGTGGCTCAAAACCCATCTTTAAGCAAGCATTAGTGTCTACAGGTCTATCTATGGTTCTATCCACAGGTCTATCTATAGTTCTATCCACTTCCACTACAAAAACATTAGAGACTGTATGCTCTTCTTGAACTCATAAAGAGTTGTAGTTCACAACTGAGACGAGTCAACTGCTCGGGATACATACTATTCCTGCAAAAACAGATCAAACCAATTTCAATTATAGAGATCATATGTAACATATCTGAAGTTGTTATAGAAAATAGATTTAACAAAAGTCAACCCTTCTTGATTCAACACAGTTCTTCATCCAACAAATCAAATTTAGTTGGTGAATGCAGCAACTTGTGATTCTACTATATTTTAGGTAAGCATCAAGATTTTTCTTTTAATATTTCTCATAAAAAAAATCCATTAATATACAGCAGCCTCTGGGCCTTGAGTTGAGGACAAAACAATGGTGACCACAGTTCAATTTTCATGTGGGGTGATTGAAATCCTGTATTGTGGTTTGGGTTCTTGACCAATTTAATGGGTATGTTTGCTTTGCAGATCATCTTCACACAATGTTGGAAACTGAGGATTTCAAGTTGAGAAAAGCAGAATTAGATGATGAAAAACTTAAAAGGGCTGTGTAGTTGTATTTTAATTTCTATTTCAATGCTCGATTCACTTCCAGTGTTCTCTTTCAGGTGAGTGGCTTCACTGTTACAGTTCAGAATGGCAAGCTCATGATTAGGGACCTCTTTTGCAGATTCGATAGCCTTGTTTCGCCTGGCAAGGTCTCCGGCAAGAAGGGTATTGCTTGCCATGATGCGCTCCACATCGTACCTTGATATGTCAAAGTTAGTGACAGCACTAACCCCGTGAAATTTTTATTGCTGCTACGTCATAGGCCTCAGCAGCTTCCTCTTGGGTGCCTGAAAATTGCAGTTAAATCAGAACCAGATCGAAATGAAATCAAAACCAGTACAAGAACAGAAAGCCACAGATTGCATTTAAATAGTTGCATTTTTTTAGCAAATTATGTTGCAAAACCACTAATGTCTTGGCAGAATTTGAAATGAGAAGGTTTTTTAGCAATTAGATGTCTACGGGAAAAAGTTTTTGCCCAAATAAATTGAGAAGATGCAAAGGAACTCACTAAATGTCCCTAGATAAAGGTCCTTGTTTCCTGCAACTCTGCCTATCCGAGCTTGCCAGCGTCCATGTTGATGATGTTTGTTGAAGATTACATCAGAATTAGAGACCCATAAAGAAGGGCAGGGTCTGGGAACGACAAGATGTACATCAAATATACTTCTACTTATAATTAAAGGAAGTGTGCCAATAAAAATTATAGATTAACAGATGTATGTGCAAAAAATAGTAAGACCTTGTGACTCCTCTGTACATTGAAGCACCCCTTGAGAAGCCACTGCTTTTTCTGCAAAGATCAATATATTAGAGATAAAAACACATCAAACAAAGAAAACAAACATTGTTGTCTAATATACAAGGGGAGAGACTATACCTTCTTAAGTGAGCAACATATTCTTGTCTGGTCATGTTCTTCATATGTTCAAGTTCTTGTTGACAGTTTTCCAGCTAAATCATCAATATACAGAGTCCCATGTCAGTTACAAAACAATTGTTAGATGAAATAAGCTGATGAGAGGGTCAGAGAACCACCGGAAAATTGATATGGGTCGAAGGGCCCCAATACTTGAGTGCAGCTAAATCATAAGCTCTTGCAGCCTTTGCTTTCATATCATAACCCCCTGAAAATTAGTATTTGGCAATGATGATGCTATGAGAATTGAAGGAAAGAACATGCTTATTACTCAATCATTGTCAATAAACCAAAAACATTGAAACCAATTCCAGCGAGTCAACAGTTGAATTCTATATTACTAATTACAGCAAAGGCAGATAGTAAGAAATCTAGAAGGAGAAAGCCACCAGTCCTGCAGACAAAAGATTAATTACACTTTTATCTCCCCTCAACTATCAATGAATATTGCTTTACCACATCAACTTCAATACTGTACATTGAGAACCATTAACTATGAAAAATGGTACAAATACCCTTCTTTTGGAAGGGTGGAAGTGAAGCAATTTTTATAGTTGAGGGATCCAAATGTATGGTTTTAAAGTTATGGGGGTAAAGTAATATTCAGTGATAGATCAGGGGGAAAAAGTGTAAAGAAGACTGATAGAAGCAATATCTAGTCCTTCATGCCATCTGTCTACAAGTAATTTTCCACAAGGACTTCACACTAGCACTCCTTTTGGTAATACGCCAAACAATTAGGTAGCCCAACTGAAAAACTAAGTCCTTTTATGATACATGTGAAATCTCCTTCTGAACAAAAAGGTCCACACAGTATCCTACTTTCCCACAATGACCTGTTTTGAGTCTTTCAGACTTCTTCCAGTTACTAGGAAAGCAGTTATAACTGTCATGGTGTCCAACCATGTCTCCCAAATAACAGTGGGTGTTTTACTCGTGTATCGTGTAGTGGTAGCATTTTGCATCATCAAATTATTCCTTTTAGAATTTCCATTTATTTTTTTATTTGTTTTCCCTCGTCTCTTAAAAGATTGTATCCCTGTCAGGTTTTGACAATAGCAGTATTATTAGTGCAATTAACCCAAAAGATGGAAGAAAGTATTAACGTGCTAAAAAATTTTCAAGTAAAACCACATAGAGAGACAGTACCCAAACAAAATGCCTGATTCCAAGCCGTAAATAATTTCCTCAACAACTTCAGATTGCATCTGCAAGGAAAAAGAACATCACAACATAAAAGGGGAAATCCCAAGCTGACGCTTTGTAGTTTGATAAAACAATACATAATATTAGGAAGAAAAAAAATACCATCTCTTGTTCTCTTCGGTGACGTCTGTAGATGCGAAGCCATCCGTTAAGTAGTACCTACAGTCACGAGATTTCTGTTAATGCCTGAATCATATCGACAAATTTAAGAAACAATTTCTTTAACAAAACCCTAATAGCAGTGATAAGACAAACAAAATATAGCACTGGTGGAAAACCATACAGCATAAATATATTACACAAATAGGAAAAGAAAGGCAGTAACAATCTAGAAAACTAAATCAGTGACAGAAACAGGGAATTCACAATCTACTGCATCTTCCAGCAAATCAGCCCATTCAGAGCCAAAAAAAATAAGGCTCAAAATAGAAGGGATTACTATATTTTTGTAACATCAATTGTTTCATCGAGCTCTAATTAATCGATAGTTTCAAATGAATATGAGAATCACTTGATTAGTTAAGTATGCGATAATGTCAATATCCATCATCTATTTATTCAATTTTAAGTTTTTGCCCAAATAAATTGAGAAGATGCAAAGGAACTCACTGAATGTCCCTAGATAAAGGTCCTTGTTTCCTGCAACTCTGCCTATCCGAGCTTGCCAGCGTCCATGTTGATGATGTCTGTTGAAGATTACATCAGAATTAGAGACCCATAAAGAAGGGCAGGGTCTGGGAACGACGAGATGTACATCAAATATACTTCTACTTATAATTAAAGGAAGTGTGCCAATAAAAATTATAGATTAACAGATGTATGTGCAAAAAATAGTAAGACCTTGTGACTCCTCTGTACATTGAAGCACCCCTTGAGAAGCCACTGCTTTTTCTGCAAAGATCAATATATTAGAGATAAAAACACATCAAACAAAGAACAACAATCCAGACGCAGCTTGCCGTTGTGGCCCTTCCTACACAACAGCCTTCATCATCTCGCCCTTCTAAACGCGCCCGATCTACTTCGACCGAACGGCAACTTGTTGATGAGGTCGAAGTCATCCCCCAAAGTCCTCAACCTACCTTCCAACCGGAACAAACTGACCGAGCAGAATCGTCGAAATGGGTTCCGAAGCTAACCTTCCAGGACCGAGATATCAAAGATTCTGATTCGGTTGTGGCTGAAAAAGATCATCAATTGGCCTTTAACTTGGCCAAAAGTGTGTGCCTCCCCAAGGACATGGAGCACCACCTAAAGCAATTAAACACCGAAATGAAGTCAATCCGGTCTACATCGAAGTCCATGATTTTGGTAAGTAGCTCTGTCCGTTTTTTCTGTCTAAATTTTCAAACTTTTACTTCGGCTTAAGGAAAGTCTTCGTTCTGTCAGGCCTTACAAAAGAACAACATTACTTACAAGAAAGTCCAAGAGCTCAGAAAAACAACGAGGCAAGCAATGGCGGAAGCCGAAGCAAAGGTGGCCGAGCTAGAAGAAGCCGAGAAGAAAATGGCCAAGATACAAGCAGAGAACGGCCGACTTGCCGATCTGGTTAGTTCGGCTGAAGCGGAGAAACAGAAAGCCGCCATTGCTATGAAAGACAAGTATCTACGCGAGTTGGTAAAGCTTGAAAAGAGAAAAGACACCGAAATAACTCAACTGAAAAAGAGCGCGGAGGGAGCTGAAAAGTAGGGTTACAAGCGGGGTTACAAGAAGGCAGAAGACGCTTATGTCAAACAGTGCGACGTTGCCAAGGAGCTTTTCTTTAAGTGCGGCTGGAGGGGAGCCGTTGAGAAGCTCGGTCATGATCCTCAAACCGAGGTTTTCGACCCTCCAGCCTACTTTATACCGAAATCCCTTGCGGAGTATGCAAATGTCATGCAGCAACAATTTCTTGAGGGCTCAGACTCAGATGAAGATTCTGCTTCTGACGATGCTCCGGTTGTTGATGTGGATCAGACAGTTCGGTCGGAACCTATGGTGGAAGACGTAGCTATTGATCAGCCTGGTGAAGCCGTGGTTCCGACCGAAACCACCCTTGTTATCGACACCGAGCTTCCGCCTGAAACCGGTCTTCATGCTGACGCTGATGCTGCTTTTGACGCCGAAATCGAAGATCTCTTCTCTTGACTCTATACTTTTTCTCTTTTTGTTGCCTTTTGCCTTTGTAACCGGGCTATGCCCCTCTGTAATTACTGTTTAATGAATGAAAATTTTGTTAGACTCTTATTCCGGTTTCTGATTCATATGCTTGCACTTATAATGTCTTCTATTACTCCAACTGTTATTTCGGTTTTAGCTGGTTAAACTATACTTATAGTAGCCAACCACTCCTTAGCCGACATATTTACTTCGGCTGAGGAGTTTTCAGTTTGTTTAATCCAGCCGATCTAATTTCAGACATACCCTTACTTCGGTTGGAGAGTAACAAGAGTTGGTTTATTCCAGCCAACCACTCTTCAGCCATACCCTTACTTCGGTTGGAGAGTAACAAGAGTTGGTTTATTCCAGCCAACCACTCTTCAGCCATACCCTTACTTCGGCTGAAGAGTAACAAGAGTTGGTTTATTCCAGCCAACCACCCTTCAGCTATACCCATACTTCGGCTGAAGAGTACAAAGAGTTGGTTTAATCCAGCCAACCACTCTTCAGCCATACCCATACTTTGGCCGAAGAGTATAAAGGTTTGGTTTAATCCAGCCAACCTCTAAAGAACAATGTTTACAATGTTCCTATCTTTACTAAAGCTAACTTTTACAAAGAACAATTTTATGCTGAAAAAGAATCGCTTGTTTTATTGAAGAAAGAAAGAAAAAATTACACATTTTTTAAAAGGAAAAGCTAAAAGTGAAATAACTTGAGATTGGCCGTGTTCCATGGCCTAGGGATTGCTTTGTCGTCCTTGTCTTCTAGGTGGTATGCCCCTTTGCCTGCTAACCCAACCACTTTGTAAGGACCTTCCCAGTTTGGCCCTAACTTGCCATCTCCTGGTACCAAGGTGTTTCCCATTACCTTTCGCAGTACCCAATCGCCGATCTTGAATTGTCTTGGATGTACTTTTTTGCTGTATTTTCTGATTAACTCTTGTTGGTATGAAGCAATGTGAACCAGTGCTCTTTCTCTTCCTTCTTCTGCGAGGTCGAGTTCCAGTGTTATGGATTCTCCATTTAAGTCTGGATCAAAATTTTCGCTTCGAATTGTGGGGAGGCCAACTTCCAGTGGGATTACTGCTTCCATTCCGTAGGCTAAGGAAAATGGTGTTTCTCCTGTTGATCGCCGAGTGTGGTGCGGTAAGCCCATAAAACATGAGAAAGTTCATCCGCCCACTTGCCCTTTGCCTTTTCTAGCCTTTTCTTTAGTCCATCCAGGACGACTTTATTTGATGCTTCTGCTTGCCCATTTGCTTGAGGATATGCCGGTGTAGAATTGTAGAATTCTATCTTGTATTCTTCACAAAAGCTTCTGAAGATTCTGCCGTCGAACTGAGTACCATTGTCTGAGATCAGTGCTTTTGCTATGCCAAACCGAGTGATGATATTCTACCAAACGAACTTCTTCACATCTTTTTCTTTGATTGATGCCAATGCTTCTGCTTCCACCCACTTTGTGAAGTAGTCTGTTGCTGCGAGAAAGAATTTTCTGCCGCCGGGCGCTATTGGAAGTGGTCCTACTATGTCCAAGCCCCACATTGCGAAAGGCCATGGGCTAGTCAATGGTAGGAGTTCCCTTGCTGGTTGATGAATTTGATGTGCGAATTTCTGGCATTTTTCACACTTCTTTACATATTTCTCTGAGTCTGCCTGCATATATGGCCACTAATATCCTTGCGAAATGGCCATGTAAGCTAGCGATCTTCCCCCTTGATGACTTTCGCACACCCCTTCGTGTATTTCGAACAAGAATGCTTCCACTTTGCTGGGATGAACGCATTTTAGGTAAGGCCCTGAGAATGACTTCTTGTATAATGCCAAAGATAGAGATAGCCAAAATCGCTGCGACTTCGCCCTTATTCTGTTGGCTTCTTTTTTCTCTTCTGGTAGGATGCCGTCTTTTAGGAACAGGATGATGGGATCCATCCAAGAGGGGCCTAATTCTGCGCAACATACTTCTTCTGCTTCGGGGTCTTCTATGCTTGCCAACATGAAAGAGGTTGTGAAA